TTAACAAAACTAAGGACTAGTGTCTCTTCTACACTCGATGGCAACTATGTTTCATGATGCTCACGGTACAGAGTTGACCTTCGTTATAACTCCACCAGCTAAAAATACAGTTTTTTAAAGGTAACAACTACAGCTAGATGGCCACTACTGTTAGTGCCGTTTCTTTTCATCCAATGCAGTGGTAGTGATCGACACAGCTAATGGCACGATATGAGTCATGGTCTGATCAGTATTTTAACATGCGATAATATCAGGACCACACAGAGACTTTGGCTAGCTGCCGACTTAGTTACACAAGTTCATACATACTGAAAATTGATAAAAGCTGTCATTTTTTACGTTAACAAATATGGCAATTTTAAACGCTAGAGCTGATTACTACTACTGTCTTGTAAACTGTTACATCCAAAGAAACGCTGATTTCTTCGCTGCTTAGCAATTTTGAAGCTTTTAACTGAACATTACCATTTACAGAGGTCTACACTGCTTTCCACAAATAACGGATCAAGAAAAAACAGTGCATGTATAAAATAGCATGTACGTACTGCCACTTTTAAAAATGAAACAGAAATAAAACGTTACCTTTGAACTACCTCGCCTTGTTCCTGAACCATATGAGACAGCTGCTGAAAAATCTGACCCAAATCAACGATAGTGGATTCTATGTTAGCCATTGTTTCAACGCGGCTGCGAACGTACGAGTCCTAGTTAAAAGAAGCTATGACAAGAGAAAAAATGCACAGTGCCGACAAGTCACCTGTTCGTCGATCAACTGCAACTGTTGCTGGACATGCCTTTTGCCCACATCGTCCATGTTCATCACGAAGCTGTGAGACCGAGGAGCATCAGAGGCACTGTCGTGAAGCAGAAGGGAACCCACTACAAACTGTTACGATCACTAAAAGGTAAAATGGACTTGGAAAAACGTTACTGTCTCCGTGGGAGGCAGACGGCGGCAATGTAGATGGAATCGACTGGTTAGAAGAAAATTTTTCTCTCCGAACCTTCTCCTGTTTCATATTTTCCGTACGAAGTTCAAGAACGTTTTTGAATTCCGTACTCATGGTTGCCAGCTTCGACTGCAGCGTAACGACAACAGACTGTGAGTGTTGACTTCGGTTCGTTCCCACGCTGTCCTTGCGTCTCTGTAACATCTAGAGCAAAACTTTAAAGATTAGAAAATACAAAGCGCATTTGCTAAGTTTATAAGTCAGAAGCCAAAACGTATTTCTGTCAAAGGGTGAGCAACAGAAATCTAAACAAATCGTGCATACTGTTTCAAAGGGACTGTTGCTTTTACAGCTGGTCAATGACTTTCGAGAGCGGATCGGAAAATGAAAGTAAATCTCCAAACTTAAGAAGACACCACGGAAGAACCGATTTCTTCACATTAATTGTACCAAATAGCAAATATATGGATTTTTGAATTTAACTGAACGTCAGACAAGATACCCATTCGAAGAAAGAATCAAAATTCCAATCCAAGACGGGATTATTGCAATATAAAAAAATGAAAATGAACGATAACCTGAACCTATACAGCCAAAACACAAATTGTCTCGAAGAACCCATGCCAGCTATCGAACTTACTAAAAGGTACATAACAGAGTTCCGATGGAACTCAAATTATCAAGGCAAACGCAAGACCTGCGGAAGTTTAAAGTCGTTTGGCTCATCAAAGGAAAAAAATTAGAAGAAAAAATTAAAGTAACAATGAAAAAACATCACTCACAGCCTTAACTGCATACAGTATTTATTAACGAAAGGAGACTAAATTTGGCGAAAAAATTTCTAAATCTTCATTGTTAAGATGGCAACTCCGATAGTACTCCGTGTTCATTCTGAAGGTATTCTCTGTAGGTTGATATACTCTAATAGCTGCGTTCCAAAATACGCGGAATGTAAATGACAATCAGCATTAAAACAATTGGAAACAATCACTAAACGAATATCACAATGAAAAGGCAACACCATTCACTCTCCACTTCACTCAAACAGCTTAACGAATAGTCCGTGGCTGAATAACCAGCTGGCGCAAAATATGGACACAGATAATGTGCATTTTTTATAGCAAGATTTGCGATTGAATCAAAGTACTGCTTAAGTTATCTATGGCATCTGATGGCATTCGATCGTGCAAAATATTTTATGCAACATAACAAGAAGCATCAATGTTTGATTCTGCTTAACTGCTTTTGTAATCACCTTTATTTTCTTATTTAGTAGGTAGCATCTCTAGTCTTGTGGACATAGAGAAAGCGTATGACCGAATCCCACGCAACAGTCTGCAGACATGTCTTCGTGCATACGGGATAGCTGGTCTGCTAAAGGCCATCCAATCACTGTATTCCAACAGCAGGTGCTGCGAAAGTTAATGGCGTTAAGTCGAAACCATTCAACGTTCGCACTGGTTTCCGCAAAGGGTGCGTCCTGTCCCCTATCCTGTTTGTGTTGTACATGGATAAAATGGTCAGGAGCTGCCAAGGCGATGATTGTATCGGTGTAGGAGATGTGAAATCGAGAAGGCTGCTCTTTGCAGACGACCTTGTTTTATTAGCATCTTCTGAAACTGATCTCCACTGGTCCTTAGCAAGGTTCGCAGCCGAGTGCGACGTGACCGGCTTGCGTGATCGCATCTAAAACGAAAAGCCTAGTGCTTTCTCGTTCTTCTGCCCGTTGCTCTCTTAAAATTAACGGAGAG